AGTTTGTTCAATTTTCTGATTTTTTTTAAAGCAAAAATGGATCACCATGTATGTAATGAAGACTACAGTGCAGAAAAGAAAGACTTCTCAAAAAGAAATGCATTTTATTATTGACGTCCCTTGTTTTTAAATTTAATTAACAGATTGATCTTGCATGGAATTTTGAATGCACTGCCATTTTCAAAATTACTGTTATCCTTCATGCATTGGCTTGGTGACAAATTAATTATCACCGAATTTGTGAATGCTCTGCAAAGTCGTTAATGTGTTCGGGACTTTTTGGTGAGGGCTGTGGATCATCAGAAAATGCCTACTAATTATTTGCATATTACTAAACAAGTTTCTTGTTAACTACTGGTAATCTTAAAAAATGGATAAATAACATAGTAATTACAGACCACTAATTACTTAAACAGTAAGGCAGTAGCTGATATTTAAAAATTACCAATATCAAATTTGCACTAATTTCCTGCTTTTATAAAATAAGGTGAAAAATAGCATTAAAAAATACAGAAATGATACTTGAAGATTTAGAAAATAAAATGAAAACTATTTTTACATCTTTTACATGATAAATAAATTTTTAATTCACTATTCCAGTTATCAATAAAAATACATTAAATAAAAAGCAGCTTCTATGCATAATGACTACTACATAACTGTTAATTATGAATCAAATCTGAAATTAGTTTTATTACATTATACAATTAAATAAATTGAGTTAACATATCAAGATCTAAGTAAATTATTTTTCAACAGGTCTTACTTTTAGAATTGGACGACTGACATCTTTTGGATCAAATACTATAGACTTAGAACAAACTTTTAATCTTCCTTTTTGTTGCCTGTTTTAAAGAAAATATACACTTTAAAAGTTTATCAAAAGTAAAAGATAATTCAAATAATATTTATAAAAGCATAATAAATAATAAAAAAAAATCTTACTTTTAAACATAGTGCACAGCCTAGTAGAAACATCAGAAGCTATTATATTGATTAATAAATTCAAAGGAATATGAAAACTTTTAACTAGAAAGGGATATCTTAACAGTGGAGTTCCGAAGGGAAATTAGTTTGTATCTATGCAATGTAGTGCGCAGTCCATAGAGAACAGAAAAGAAAACTGACACTATAAAAATTGATTAAATCTCAAATTTCAGCAGACAAATAATTTCTTAATTTTCAACAATATTTAAGTCTCAGCCATTATGAGCAAAATTTGGTTGCATCATTTAGTATTAAAAGCATAAAATTAAAGATCATACAAAACTTTTAAGAAATACAATCTTAACACTATGTGATAAAAACTTTGGTAAAAAGGTTAAAAAAAAAAAAAAAAACTGGTTCTGTATGTGATAAGATGCAAATTAAAAAGATATACTTTTATATATTCCTCTCAGAATACTTTTATATAAATTTCCATTTTTATGAAAATTTTTAATTTTGAAACAAAATCATGCAAGTCAAATTAAAAATAACAGCCAACTGGACAACTTTCTAATATTGATTTCTGATGAATTATATTAAGATTTCAAGTTTACAAAGAATATGCCACAAGATAACTATTCAAGTATACCTTTTGATTGCTTCAACCTCTGTTGTTTGACCTGGGTAACAAAAACAGCTGTAATCTTCAAAATAAATTTCACCAGGTTCAAGAAGCAACAGAGAAAATCTGAAACACAAAGTATGCTAACATATTAGTAACAGCTCACAATTTCAGGAAAGTTGTTAATTACATGCAGCATATGATATTATACATAGAACACAACTATGATTGGTAAAAGTTTACAGTTGGGTGCCCCTTGTTTATTGGCGATTCTTTTTTGACGCCAAGATCAGCGCCAGGAAGTCACAATTTCAAGATGGCCACTACACAAAATCAAAATAAGAAGTCGAAGAATTGCACAAGATCTGTGTCCATGTACACATCGATCTGTTTTTACTTAAAAAAACATCCTAGAATTGCACAAACTAGGCATTGCACATTGTCTTAAATATGTCCATGTACACATCAATCTATTTTCATTTAAATAAAATCGGGAAGCTAAAACAAAGTTAAAACTATCGTGGTAACCAGAAGTGAGGTTTCATCGCCAAAATTTTTTTTTGAATGTCGCCAATCGAAGGGGCACCCAATTCTACACTAAAGCTCTATGATTATTTTAGGATACTAAAAAAATATCTATATTTGTAATATTGAGGAGAAATTAAAAGTATTACAACACAAATCACAATAAATAGCCTGATACACTTTTAAGGATTTTTCGATACTTTTTGATTATAGCGGTCCACAGTCTTATTTGGTGACCTTAAAACTACATAAATATCCCAGCTATGATTTCTCCAAGCTTGTAAAATGCGAATGTAAAAATAAACAACACAATAATAATATTCACATGTTCTATCAAAAGAATGTTTTTAATAATCATTATGACAAGGACCACATTTTCGAAATTGCTTTCAACAATTCATCAAAAACATTCCTTTTTTCAATGTACTTCGTTATTAACCTCATAGAATTTTAATACAGGTGCTTTTACAACCAATTCTTTGTGTTTCAAAAGCATTTTGATGTTTTCCATTCCAGTGCCAGAAAACACTTTTCTCAAATAATTGCTTTAATGACGCACTAATAGCAGTTAAGTTAGGAAATCTGCCCAAATAATTAACCATTCCTAAAAACCTTTATAGAAAAGGCACATTTTATAAATTGTTTTCACTTCAGAAAACCCATTTTCACTTAACATTAACCTAATATAATTCACACAATTAACATTTATTTTACATTTATCCTTACTGAACTTCAGATTATTTTCTTATGCTCTCTGGAATACTTTTGGTAATGTGACTATAGCTTCTTCAAGCTGTTCAGTTGAATATACCATTGATCCATCTTGCACATATTGAATAATTTTCTCCATAAATGTATACAGAATATTACCAGAATATTCCTCCAAAAGTCTACTGTTATGGGAGTACTCTGCCACTGTTGTCCTTATTTCAGGCTAACAAACTTTCATCGATTTTAACTATTCTATTGGGTCTGTATATTCCCCACTGTATCTTTATATCAAATGTAAAAACACATATCCCACATGTAACTGTTCCAATCAATTGTAGCATTTTCATGCATATTAAGCAGTTTGTCACATCATTGGATGGATGTCAGCTCCTCTGTGCAAAAATACGTAAATCTAACAGCAGTGACAAGCAATATTATGGAACTACTGAAGCAATTTCCAATACGGAAACCCTTTTGCCTTTTACAATTTTTAACACTGCACCTCCAAATGGTTTTGTTGTTTACATATAGTTTCATGTTGTTTGCATACTTGTTTGCCAGGTAAAAGACCTCTTTCTTCAAAAAATGATACAGCATCCATTTCTATATTTGGTAAAGACATATTCACAAAAAAGCAAGGAATATTTCTAAAAAAAGCCAATGGAATTTTAAAAAATACAACACAGTGTTAAAATAAGAACACATGGCAAGATTTTGGTGACATTTCTCTTGCTTAGCAATTCAACCTTGGAGTCACTATAATAAGGAAGTACCAACTTTTCACATGAAAATATTTCTTCTGGCAGTTTAATATTTGACTGGCATACATATCTGAACTCTAATTAAAAATCTATTTTATGATGCTTTTAGCATCTGATGGCTATAATTTTTACAATTAAAAAATCATCAATAACAATGCAAATGAGTTGAACATAAGCAAAACTGATAAATAAAATGCATTATAGTTTAATGTACTTAAATTACAATAACTTTAATTTACTGATTTTATTCTTATGAGCAAAATAAGGATTTTATGAAATAATAATTAAATAAATTTATTTTATTTAAATTTTCATATTTAATAAAACAGCAATAAATAACTGATTAAGAATTAAAAAATGAATTTACAAAATGAAAAATTATAAAATGAAATTTAAAAAAAAAAAAAAAAATGTTTGATGTAATGCTGAAACGTTTTTCCTCACGAGGAAAAAGCAATGGGATAATACATGAGTACAGAACTGTTTTTCAATTATGAATGTCATATATATACACAATTCTGTGAATCTATAAATATGTTACAACTAAAAAGGGGGGGAACACATAATGCAGCGATAGTACTATTGGTGGGTTTTGGGCATGTTTGGTTTCTTTTTCACAGAGACCAAAAGAAGTGCACAGCAGGTACCTAATGAAAAAGTACCATGAAAAAGGTTTTTCCTCACAAAAATACTCTATGCACTTAAAAATGCTTTAGAAGAATGAAGATACTAAAAAAAATTAAGAACCAGAAACCAGACTTTCATTAATGGGACATTTTAAATATTATTATAGTAAGATTTATTATCTATTCTGCTACAATCCTTTTTGAATTCACCTATGCCCACAAAGGTTTTACTTTTGCAAATACTTCATACTTTTTCTTAATAGGAGAAAGAAATAATCTTCCCCCAAAAGTATCAATTCTTATAAACTGCCTCCAGACAAATTAATAACAGTGCAGTTTCTTTTTTTTTAATGTTTACAACTTACATATTTAAATGCTTACAAACTTCTTTACCTTTTGACATAATGGCCAAAGGTAAAAATAAAAAAATCTCAATTCATTGAAAATTCAGAAGATACTTCATAAAAGTATTTAATTACTACACATATTTGATAAATGCAAACTGAAAAACAGTAAGGTTACTAACCATATTTGATAAATACAAACAGTAAGTTAACGGGGCGTCATAAAATTTTATCGCTAACTGATCGGTAAAAAATTTTAACTACCTTTCTTTGTTTGTGCTTTCCATAAAGGCCATAGAGGGTACTGAATTGTGGCTTTTCTTTAAAAGTTCGAGGCATAAAAGTTTTAAATGTCTTAAGTCAAAGATGTGTTATATATTTTTAACACATGCATTTTGGTACAAACGGGAACAAATCAGTAGATAATGGTCATACTGTAAATCGTAAATCAAGCAAAATTTCTAAAGTAGTCAATATGACTTGGTAAGAAACAAATGTGTCGCCAGTCATGTCATAAAATTCTGACAACGACGAGTATTTCGCACCCACGTAAGAATATCATATGAGTATGAAACACCGGCGGGCAATTTACATTCTGAATAACAGACAGACAAGACAGACAAAGTAGACAGATGTCTTGTTTTGCACCTGCTAAGTCTTTTTGCACTAGAACTGGAGCAAACCGCATGTATTCGTTACTGAGTAACGGGTACATCGGTTGACTCGAAGTACCGATTCGGTACTCACAAATTCATTTCGTTACTCGCATCTGTTCGTTACTCGCATCTGTCGTACGATGCGGTTTATTCGAGTCCGAATGATCGGTTGCTATACGAATACGAATGATGCGGTTTCTAATGCGTTGCTTGTCCAATACGAATGATACGGTTGCGTCACAATGCGCTCATATTTTTTCATAGGTAATTTTAAATTTTTCGGGGAATCGGGCAAACTCTTGTTTAATTATGTGTTTTAGAAATACTATTTAGTTGTTGATATTTAAGAAGATGAGCAACTTTGATAGCGTGAAGCGTTATTTTGTATTTGCTTTTTACATTAAGATTTATGTTTGTAATTTGAAAATTTAGATGATTATTGATTGTTTTTTCTTGAGCGTGCCATAGTGAGATTTTATTGATTTGAAATATTTATCTACTGCACTTAGGTATTCTTTATATAAGAATATGTAAGCTAATATAGGTTCTTTACTTCCTTGTACGAAATGAAAAGTAGTAAGTATTGTAATCGAGAAAATTTTTGGGTATCATATTTTAACGGAAATATCCATTTTTGACGATTACGGAATCCATGTGAATTTTTTGGGATGATGTCTGTACGTACGAACACAATGAAGGACTTCTCTTTTTTTTTTTTTTTTTTTTTTTCCAAAAAAAAAAAAAAACTGATTTTAAATGTAATCGCATTTACTCTAACTGATACTTATGACTAATGATTATGACTCTAAGTTGATACTTGAAAGGGTGATGTATGAGTATTGAAACGTGATGTATAGGTATGTATGCATGCATTTCGTATAACTCAAAAACGATTAGTTGTAGAACGTTGAAATTTTTTATATGGGTCCGTTTAAACATCTAGATGTGCACCTCTCTTTTTATTGCAATCGGTAATACTACCAAGCGTAAATATGTATATATATATTAATAATTATAATTAAACGTAAAGTACATATATATATGTCTTTATAATTAAATGTAAAGTACACACGCTCACATATATATATATAAAATAAAAGCCAGTAAGGCGAAAATAAAAGCTTTGGCTTTTATTTTATTTAATTATCACTAAATAAGTTACTTGACTTTATTTTCGCAATCATCGGTGTAGTCAGGACTTAATTTTTAAAATTAGAGGTGCTGGAGCTCTATGGAAGGCCATCAGGAAGATGATAAATAAATAATAAAAATAAAAAATATAAATAACTCTTACAATAAAAATTAGCAGCTAAAATATTAAATGATTATTACTATATTTAAAAAAAATTAAAGACAATGAAAATGTAATTAATTCTTAAATTAATGAAGAATAACTAAGTATGAAATAAAATACCAGACATCGTCTTGTTTAGGGGCTGTGCCTGAATTGCAATTTCTTAAGAATTAAGTCCAAGCATTAGCTAAATTTAGGCCCTGGATGAGCAAATAATGTACTGTTTAGCAGTGTATGGATAGAAATTTGGTTATGTAGTCCATTCTTCTAAAACAGCATTTCGTCTAATTTTTCGTCCCATCGCCTGTCACCTGCAGATTCCTTTGCTGCCTCTTTTCGGTTTCGGTTTGCCTCGGTTATAGCCAATTCACCTCTTTTTTGTTTTGGTTTATTCAGCCTTACGGCAAGGGAGGCACATTAGTGGAGTATTGATTAAGGGGAGAGGATAGGGATGCCTCATTGTGGAGGACTTTTTATAGGAAACTGGCTAACATGCAAGGTACACATGGGGAAAATCCACGAAGACACCTGTGCAGCCAGCCCTGTTAGCCAGGAATTCGAACCCCGGACTGAACTATTAGTGTTCAGCGAACTTTACCACTCGAGCGCTGGTGGGCTCTTTTTCATTTCATTTGCTGTTCGAAAAACAGGTGTTCACTTTACGATAAAGCAAGCACCTGTTTACTTCAATCAAAATGGGTTAGACAATATGACTCTTACTACTTTAATCTCAATTAGCTTTTGATTTCTAATATTGATTCAATATTTTCAATACCAGATTTTTGTTGTATTAAGCAGATTTAAGTTCTCTGTTAGCTAGTGTAACATAATTTCGGATTTTATGAGCCTTCCAGAATTATTAGCAAAATAGTGGAAATGTCTTTACAAAGTGTTTTTGTAAGCAAATAGCAGATGTACACTGAGCAGTGATCAACTGATATATTTCTTAAATGATTTGGTTTGGTTGATTATGACAAAACACATTGGGGCTATGTGCCTAAGAGGAAGAACGCCTTCGTAGAGCACTTTCTTAGGAAAGCTGGCTCGTATGGTACGTTGTAAGCTGGCTTGTAAGCTCGTACGGGAAAAAAAACCACGAAAATGCCTTTGAAGCCAGCCCGTTCGCCTGAGATAGAACTCAAGTCGGAACTAACAGTGTTCAGCGATTTTACCGCTCAACCGCTGGTGGGCCATTTCTTAAAGGAATAAAGGTATACTCTTAGCATTATGAAATAACACTGATTGAAATATTTAGTGCTTCACTATTATCTCTAGTAAAGTAACATAAAAATTTCCTTACCTTTTATAGATTTCTAAATTTCTTTTAAGTTCTTTCTTAATTCGTACTTAACCTGTACATGTGCGAATGTTTTATCGATCATATTGTTAAGTGTAAAAAGCAAGTTGACGTTTATAATATAGCATTCCTTGTCTCAACAAATAAGTCTCAACAAGGAGTTTTTAGAAAGGGGATGAATCGGGGAAAATTCACCCTTTCGGTCATTAGCGGTTCTGATGAAGGGAATGGGGGAAGCAGCGAACGAAATAACGAATAACGGACAAATAACGAAAGTTAATCTTTAATGCGGTCTCCCAGTTTCTGTATTTGTATTTGGGAAAGTTTTATGCTCATTATGAAAAAGTAAAAATTTGATATGGATTCCGCGTGACTTTCTTCTATGACTATTTAAATTATGTTATTTTGCTGCACTTCATTTAAACTTATTTCCTCGAATTATTCTAACTTAATTAAGCGATACCCGAAGGCAAGTTACAAATGGCATCAAACATTGCAATTTTGAAACTAAATTCTTCGGTCAATCTTGTCCTACGGACTCAAACTTCTTGTATTTTTATTTTTTCATAACGAGTATAAAACTTTGCCAGATATAATATAGAAACCAGAAGACGACATTAAAAGTTGGATTTCATAATTTGTCCAAAATTATTCTTTTTAAAATCTGACATTGACAAAATCTGAATATTTTCGTCATTTAAAATACTTCTGCATTTTTGTTGCACCGTATTTAAACTTGCTTCCTCGAGTTATTGACATTAAATTACATTAATTCCATTATATATTAGAAAATAATTATAGCAAATCATCTATTTACGACATCTCTAAGAGGTCACTTTCTAAGAGATCTGTATTTTTTGAGAACATAAACAAACATTGGGGGTGAACATCACCTTTTTAAGACCATCACGTGTAAAATCCTCTAAAAGCATGGATGGTTGCATTTAAAGCGGACCCATTACTTTTAATAAAGAATGTAACATTATTCTTAATTTATTACATGTTTTTGGTGTGTGTGGCCAAAATAATGCTATACCGTGGTTCTGTTGCTTTAGAAATGTGTGAAATTTTAAAAAAAAATACTGATATGGATACTGTATAACAAAAGTGTTATTGTATTCTGATACACATCCTTTTGAACACGTCTGAAATTCGTTATTCCTGCTCAGCATAAATTGTCTGCATAAAATATTAAATAGTAATAGAAATCAAAAGCTAAGTCGATGTAGAAACAGTCATCTCTTCTAAACCATTCTTAATTGAAGTAAACAGACGTTCGCCTTATCGTAAAGTAAACACCTATTTTTCAAACAGCGGATGAAACGGGAAAGAGGGAATTGGTGGGAGAAGGCAGTGAACGATAATGAACACCTTTTTTGAGCTGGGAAGATGAAATGAGAAAGGACGAAACGATACTAAGCCAATAAGACAAGATCTGGTATTTTACTTTATTACTTAATTAGTCCATCATAAATTTAAAAATTATTTTAATTTTTATTTGTTTTTACATTTTTATTAAATTTTTACTCATAAGTATTTTATATTTCAGTTGCTAATTATTATGTTACTTTAATTATTCATTATTTTAATCACTATTTTTTTTTCATTTTAATTAAGTATTTTAATAAGTAATTTTTTATTATTTTAATTACTAATTAATGTTATTATTGTAATATTTATATTCTTTCTTTCTTTTTTTTTTTTATTTTTCCTATTTTCCTGACGGCCTTCCGTAGGCGCTTCTGACTTTTAGAAACTAAGCCCTGACAGCAATAAGAAAATTTCAATTAATGAATATATCCAGTGCACCAAAAAATACTAGCCACAAAAGGAGGTGAATTTTTTCTACCCAAAAATACGACGCAAAGAAGACGACGAGGAAAAATACGACCTATCGCAGCACTACTCAGTTCCCGCGAGGTAGAATAGCTCACGTGATTCAATGCGATGCGACGTTTCAAGGCCCTTTTTAGGGCCGTAGACCGATAAAATAGGCTCAGGATACGGATACCGATCGATTTTACCGAAAGTAACGAGTAACGATACGATAGTAACGTGTACCGGTTCACCGAGTAACGAATACATACGGGTACACAATTTCTCGTTACTTCTACAGCACTATTTTGCACCGATGGGCGAAAAATCAAGCACAGGTGCGAAGGAAAGGTATATAGAAAGAGGGGCAATTTCGTATTTGAGGAGAGTAAAAAGGAACTTCGTACATCTTGTGCCAGGAAGAAAAGATGGGACAAAATAAAATTTAAAATAAATGGCCCAAAAATAATAGAGGGGGAAAAAAAAGGCCTATAGAAAGAAAAGGAAAAGAAGTAGAAAATATCCTAAAATACGATTGTGTCCATGAGTGTAGTTAAAAGGAG